CGCACATCCTGTAGGAGAACCACCATGAAGGGATGAACGCACGCCCGCAAATGACCCGCTCAACGGATCCAACGAACTCACAGACGGTGTTTGTATGCCGTCGAATGCGGGCCCTGACAGTGGTCCTCAGGAGTGAACAGCGCATCTGCCATATGGTATCCTTCGGTAGCACTAGGAAAGACTTATGCTGATTGAATCTTGGACTGCGTCATAGTCCTCGGTTCAATAGCCCCTGAAGCGAGCCTGCAACACTCGAAGGAGCGAAGGTGGCGGATATGCAGTAGGACTTTATGACTGGCATGCAGTAGCATACCGAGCAACGAGGTAAGGCAGTTGTCCGAGTGAACGCGGGTTGGATGCGCAACCTATCCTGGGAGTTTCGGCATCCATTCAGTCGCACAGGCTAACAATAGGCAAAAGTCGACAGTAGAACTGCCGGAGATCGTCAAAGTCGCAAAAGGAAGGGGATAAGGACGGTGATGGTTGCAAGCTGAGGAGTGCGAGAGACGCCCTGCGAAAGTCGAGCCCGGTTGCGAAGGCAAGCCCTGTGCAGCGGCTCCAGATCAGCCCAACGTCTCCCTCCCCCTTTCCCTCCTTCCTCCGACCTCCCACTCGTCCGATTCTTTGTCTGCTCACCGTCAGTTGCTTCCGTCGTACTCTGGGAAGGGTCCCGCTGGTCGGATTCGGCGCTGGATAGCACTGGCTCTCTCCATCACAGCTTTCTTGGCAATCGCAATTCCCCTGGCGGTGGCATCTCAACGGCGCTGCGCTTGATCTTCCCTTTCCCATCCTTCTCTATGTACCTCCACCGTCTATGCTGGCTGGTGGTCCTGTTGCTTGCTAGCTTCAGCACTGTCTCCGGTGAGTGTGCAGAGATTCTCGCAGTGACGCCGACAGAATCGCTCAAGACCCTCACTGTTGGCTGTAGCCCTAAGCGCGCCCGCGAGGCCTTTGAAGCGAGTCTCCCACCCGTCGACGCTTTCCATAGACATCCTACCGCGACGGACATCGTCGTATGGCTATGGCAAGCGTTCTTTCCCGATAGACTCTCCTGTCCTCCGCCACACGGACTCTTTCCGTCTGACGCTTTCCGCCTTTGACGAGACATTCTACCTTCACCTCCGTCCTAACGATCACCTTATTCATCCTGCTGCTCGTATCAATTATTACACGACGACCCCGGATGGCCAGTCTGTTCTTACTCGCACTGAACCCATCGTGCGCGAGTCCGTTCGAGCGTACTGGGGAGAGGTCATCCCCGCTCATGCTTCCCCTGACCGACTGCGCGAGGATACCGCCGGAGTCCTCCCAAGACCGTCAGGTCAGTCCGAATTGGGCTGGGCTCGCATCACCGTGCACGACCAAGGAGACGCATCCATTGGACGCCCTCCTATATTTGAGGGCGCGTTCTCTGTCAATGGAGTAGTGCACCACATCATGACCAAGGACAACTATCTACGGCACAAGCTCGCTCTCGATCCCCACCTTCAACTTTCCGAAGACAATCCTGACTCTAACCTGGTGATATGGCGCGACTCGGATGTCATGTCAGTACACGAACACAGCGCAGCGCAGGCTTCACACGCCGGCATGGGACTTCCGGCCCCCCCTGCCGAGACGTGCGGCCACGACCGGATGGAATTCAACACTGATCATGAGGTCCTGCGTAAGCCCACCCTCCCGCCGTACACGCCGTGGTACGACGCGTTTGGTTTCATGCGTTTCGCGAACCACACGAAGCGCGATGACGTTGCCGGTGGCGGCATGGGAATGGAGTAGGCATCTGTATTTCCTGACCGCTCGAAGATGGTGCTGACGTCCTCAGCTTCTCGGCCTCTATCGGCCAGACCGCTGGCTGCCCGTCCTCGCAGCGAATTGTGTATATGGGTGTCGCCGCTGATTGCGAATATACGAGCAAGTACGGCTCGCGATCGAACGCCACGAAGCAAATCATTACGAATTGGAACACGGCGGGCGCCTTGTACAAGGTTTGTTGTTAGCTCTACACCCCGCCGTATATCGTAGACCTCGGCCTCATATCTCCCACGCAGTCCACTTTCAATGTGAGCCTCGGTATCGTCGAGCTCCAGGTACAGGATGCCGAGTGTGTATGAATTTCCTACATCCTCCACCAGTTGCTGACTCGGGACACAAGCTGCCCAAGCACCCCGGATCCCACTGCCCCCTGGAATCTTGCCTGCGCACAAAATGTCACGCTCAACGACCGCCTGTCGATCTTCTCTCAATGGCGCGGGAACAAGGGCAACGACAGCGCCGGCCTTTGGCACCTCATGAGTGGGTGCCCGACCGGCTCCGAAGTCGGCATCGCGTGGCTCGCGACGCTGTGCCAGCAGACGGCGTCCACTAGTGGCTCCTCATTCGTATCTGGGACGGCCGTCTCCACTGCAGGGCGCACGGAGTGGCAAGTCGTCGCGCATGAGATTGGACATAACTTTGGCGCCATCGTGAGCTAGCCCATCAGCTGAATAGCGCGTCAGGACTGACCACGATCCATAGCATGACTGCGCGGACGGATGCTCATGCTCGGATGGTTGCAAGACCGACTCAATCAGCTGCTGTCCGTTCTCTAGCTCCTCTTGTGATGCCAACTCGAAGTTTATTATGAGCCCTGTTGCCGAGGCCGGTGAGATGAACTTCTCGCCCTGCAGCATTGGCAACGTCTGTAAGTGTTTAACCGCGAATGCAACCGACTGTTCAGACCTTGAACTGTGCTTCCATCCAGGCTCGCTCATGAATGGCGTCTCGGGCGCCAAGACGACGACAACGTGCTTGATCGACCCGAACGCGCCCACCTCCCTGACCTCGTCGACGCCGGTCATCAGCCTCCAGATGTGTGGGAACGGCATCGTCGAGGATGGCGAGGACTGCGACCCGGGCATTGGCGCGAACTCGACGTGCTGCGACGTCAAGACGTGCAAATTCGCGAGCGGCGCGGTGTGCGACCCGGACAGCAGCCCTTGCTGCACCGCGCAGTGTGCATTCGCGCCCCCGACGCAAGTGTGCCGCCCGAGCAAGGACGACCAGTGTGACACGGCGGAGATGTGCACAGGAAACAGCGCGAGCTGTCCGGCGGACGTCGTTGCGCCTAATGGTGAGTAGGTTGCTTCAACGCTTTGACTGACTGGGGGCGTTGATCGGATTGCTCCAGGCAAGAGCTGCGGCCCGGATGGTCTTGCATGCGCAAACGGGCAGTGCACTTCCTTGGATCGTACGTTTCAGGCCCGCCTTGTCAGCTCTTCGAATCCTCATCGCTGCCTGCCTTTGCAGAACAATGCCAGCTTGTGGGCGCGTCTATGGGCCTCAAGTCGGCTTGTCCGAGCAACAACGACAAGTCATGTCAGGTATCATGTCAGGACCCGAGCGACTCTAGCCGATGTATCGTCTTGCAGTCTACCCTCATCGATGGCTCCCCTTGTGGTGAGTGCGGTGGATCCGGATAGACAATTTGGCCCTCGCTGAACTGGGTCGCTCCTCAGGCTATGGTGGTATGTGCTTCTCGGGACAATGTAAGCCTGGAAGTTGGTGGGATACCTTCAAGGTACAACTCCTCTCTACTGGACACGGGCACACTGCTCATGCCACTCTGATGTAGTCATGGTATGTGCACAACCTGCAGATCTCAATTCCGGTCACGATCGCGGTTGCGCTCCTTCTCCTGCTGATTATCTGGTTTATCACGCGTTGTGCGTATCCGTTCCTCAAGGCATGCAACGATCCTGCGTCTCATACTCACTTGTGACAGGCTTTTTGCGGTCGAGACGTTCGAAGCCAGCGAAGGCTGTACAAAGACTCCCCAGCTACCCCGGCCCTGCGCCCATGGCCTTCACCGCTCCGACCGTGGTTGCGCAGGCTCCCGTGTACGAGCCCAGGTAGGTACCTCCTTCCTCAGCCTCCGTGGTCCGTAAACAGCTCGTCCTAAACGTATCACACAGCGTACGTCCCGTCACGACGCGATCGCACGCGCGTCAGGGCTCCATCATGCCCATCCAGACCCCGCCGAACCGCGCGAGCGCACCACTCAGCCAGCGCTCCTCGCGTAGCTCGCATTACGCCCCGCAGTTCCCCCTCGAGTCGACGCGGAGCAGCCGCGCGAACTGGGTCGACGAGACGGCGTTCAACGGGCCCGTTCCCAGAGCTCGATAGCGTCGGCGCTTGCTCGACCGCGGTAATGAGGCGAAACGTGAAGTGTGTATATGTGTGGACTGGTACCTCCGCCGGACGTTTTTCGTCGTACATGTTTTGTTCGCTGTCCCAGCTTCGTTTCGGTCGGAATGGAAGAGGTGGAGTTCGCCGCATCGGCGTTGTAACATATTCAAAGAGCCCCTTCGGAATGCAGCCCTTATCTTTGCTTCGCTTCGAGATAGGTGGCAGCCGTCATCAGCATTGTCATATAATACCGGTCTGGGTCCTGAATAAGACCTGGTTCATCCTCGATGAAGTCGAAAAGAGCGTTCAAGCCCTAGACTGACCAGCAAAGGTTGTCTGCATTGATGGCTTCGGCGTTCCTCCCAGACAATCCAGCACCGGTTGCCGGTGAGCGTAACCTTGCCAGTCCGACAGACAAACTCACCCGCACTGCTACAGTTTCACTGCTCGGAGTCAGAGCGGCGCCTTCGTTGTACCCGTCACCCTCCCATTGCCATGCATATTCCAGTTCATGGGGTCCCTTTGAGGCGGTGCTGTTGTGAGCGTGAGAGGGTGACGCGAACTTGTGGGCTCCACATCGGTACTCTGTGAGATGCATGCTGCTGGTGCACATGCAGACAGTACCTTAGTACTAGTCAAGGCCCCGCCAACTAAGCCGCCGATGATGACTCACAGTTTGCTGGTCTCATCCCTCACTGACAAACCTACGGTCCATCGCAGTGTGCACCTCAGGATTGGAGGTGGACAGGGATGTCCAGCAGAGAACCCTCCCCCGGGGAAAGGGGATTGTTTGCTTCAACAAAGCACAAAAACACCCTCTACCTTCAACACAGCTGCCCCAGTGAGGCTCGAACTCACGACCTTCCGATTGCTTTTACAGAAAATCTGTATAACAGTCGGACGCTGTAACCAGCTCAGCCATGGGGCATGGGTAGTTGAACTCTTGGCTCCAATATCGAACTTGATGGGGTGCTGCACTTCATTTATGACTTTAGCATCCTCTCCATCGCGATTAGAAAAAGGTTTGTTCGAGGCTCTGATGCCCGTCCTTTTCGCTTCCGTAAGAGCCTACCCGCACGATGCAACGCTATCAACTTTGTACGGCTGTCCTATAATGAGTCCCTGCAAGATATATATTATGGTGAGTCAAGACTCTGGCTGAAGCCGTATCACTGAAACGACTAGCTGCGTAAATAATAACATGCATACTCATCACTACCATGTACACAAAAGACGGCGTGAACATCCGATGTTACATGACCGATACGAAGCAAGAAGCAAAGCAGATGTCCCTCACTCCTTATACCGCATCAGACCCCGTGAACGCCGTCCGGTTCGGGCTCACCGGGGGACTGCCGCTCCCGCTCCCACTCATGATCGTCTCCGGCCGCTCCGTCGTGTACGTCATCTTCGAGTCGCGCGGGTACCCGCGTGGAGACGGCAGCCCGCTCTCGGACGCCTCCTCATACGTCGGCGGGGGCACGTTCGATGGGCCGGCGTCGTGCATGCCGAGCAGCGGCGCGTGCGCGGACGCTGGCGGGGACGCGAACTCTGCAGGGGAGTAGAGCGCGTTTGGGTCGTGGGGCACGATCACGTTCTGGCCGAACGTGTACGGCTCGACGGTGTTCGCGACCTTGTGCTCCTCCTCGATCTCTGCTGCGCGCTTGAAGAAGGTCTTGTCTTGCCGCCGCCGGATGAGGTAGAAAGCGAGGAGGCCGATCGCGACGACGCCTGCTACGCCGCCGACGGTGCCGCCTACAATGGCGCCGATATCTCGCGAAGTCGTAGACGAGACTGATCGCGGGGCGAAGCCCACGCTTGAGATGCCGCTCTTTGGGATATTGAAGATGCTGTCAGGATATGAAACGTGGGTGAGCGGGCTTGAATGGGAGGTGCTGCGGAGATATAGGCAGTACAGAACGTACACATAAAGCTGGGAGATGAAAGTCTGGCCGAAAATGTATTGAGTGACCGAGGGATCCGTGAAACCCTCAATGATGCTGAAACATGTCCCGTCGCCCTGGTCGACGACGAGGGTGGACTGGTCTACCGTGAAGCGCTGTTCTCCGATGAGGACGCTGAACTGGAGCTGCGTGTTGCACGGCACTGTCCAGGAGTTCGTCTCGCCCGGGATCGTGGATTGCTGCGTCTGCTGCGAACCCGAGATTGCGTCATCTGTCAATGCGAAACAGGAGAGAACGTCAATGGCTCGGCGCGCAGCATTTACGCCCGAGAAGACCTACGGATAAGCCGCGCCTCCTGCATGGGCATGTAGATACCAGGGTAGTACGGATCAACGTTGACGAGGATCGGGTCACTCTCGGCGACGTTATTGCTGCCAATTTGAGCGATCCAGCCGTCAAGTTGGACGGTCATGTCTGGCTGCGTGTTGTTCGCGAGGTAGCCGCTGACGACGCTGTCCTGCACATTACGCCACTGGACTTTATCGGTCTGGTACGCAGACGAATCCGGTTGCAGCCAGTGAAGCGTTCCAAGGCTCCCATCGGCAAGCGATTTAGCACCAGGACCGATCGTCAGAGTAGAGCCGTTGCCAGGGATGACCGGAGATGGCTTGAGGTCCATGCCGAACGTGAAATTCGTGGCATCAGGGTTGCGAATGTAGTACTGCCCGTAAATGCCGTCATCGAATGAGGCGGAGAAGCCTGCAGCATTGGTTGGGTTCTTGAGGGTACCCAAGCCAAGCAATCCTGAGATCTCTTGCGCGAAAGGCGATCCTGCGGCTTGCTGATCCGCAACAATTACTACTGAACGATCAGTATATGCGTATTCCGTGAGCGAGGGGATGCGCACCAGTCTGGTTGGTATACTGCCATGTGGAACCGTTCGAAAGGTAGATCCCACAGTTCTCCTTGATGAGGGAACCCTGAAAGCTGCCATCGCCGAGAGTGACGGCTGAGTTACCGCTCAGACTCTTCGCAGAAGGGGACAGAGAGACGTCGTATCTGCCACTCATCAGCACAGTGACAGCACGAGTCTGAGCGATTCCACCTACAGAGGCGTATTGTTGCAATCCTGACACCCATTGCCAGCGACCACGGTATAACCCAGACTCGTCGTGAACGTGAAGTTGAAGTTCTGGACTTTCGTCGACTACGATAATATCAGATGATTAGTTGATTCCGACCTAAAAAAGCTTCTGACCATGGCTACGCCAATCCGAGGCCGCCCTCCGGGGCTGAGAAAGAGCGGAATGTTGAGCGTGGCAGGCAGGGGGGTGGCAAGCGCATAGGACGCGCATAGCGAGAGCACAAGAAGGATCTTAGGAGCGGACATCGTGCAAATCCAACGTCAAAGCGTGAACCTGTCCGACCAACCGTCGTCAACGCGATTGTCGTTGCCTAGGTGCGCGAACGTAGCACTCACGGAACGTGACTGAACCCTCTATGCAATACAGGAAATCAATGGAATTGCAGCAAGGGCGGAACGGGAGGCCTCCCTACGAGGAATTGACCTGGGAGAGAGACGGAGAAAGACCCCAAGCAAGGGGCGGGGATGCACGGCGAATATAAAATGGCATTGGGTGAACACAATCAAGCCGAAGTCCACAGTCGATACCCGCCCACCGCCCGCACTGGCTGTTGCTGGTCTGGATCACGAAGACCCCGAAACCACTCCCTCTCCGCCAAACACGATCGGAGATCCTCTTGTCTCGCATGGTCCGAGCTCAAGCCATCACAAGCCACCCCCTCTTGCGGACAAAGTAGCCATCACACTTGTGTGACCCTCAACCACGGCGTGCTCGTCGAGTTGGGTGGAGCTTGCGTCGATTTTTGCATGTTCCAGTCGTTGGCTATCTGAACGAAGGCAGAAGCGAGGACAGCGCCCACAATGGCCAACACGCGTGTTGCGAGGCTAGACTCGGACACGCCAGCGGTGTGGTGGCAGCCAGGACCCCGGCAGCCAGTACAACCCGGGTGTGTGCATCGCATTATATATCGCTTGTTTCACTTCGCCACTAGCTGCAGAGTGGCCCCGCTCCAGCAATTTGCAAACGCCCTCCGTCATCGAGCTGACATCCAGCGTTCTCCTTCAACATCTGCGAGGTTTGCTTACATACGGGAACAGGTTTCTGGCTAGCCGTAGTGATACTTACTCATCATAGCGAGGATGGGCGGACAATCTGGTTCAACAGGGTTGCAGAGCAGAGCTACCTACATGCGCTGGGCAGCATAGGGTCGCGAATGTGTATCATATCCATCAGTCATCCAAGGTCTTGACTGCCAGACGGACTACAGTCGCGTGTGATCCTTGTCTCCCCTAGGCAGACCTTACTACGTTTGTGCGATCCGAGTTCTCATACGAAGTGCACTTCGCTCCGCGCAGACTCCTGTATGCTTAGGCGCAGGCGGGAGCTACTCAGGATCGATTACTGATTGCTTCCGGCGGATTTTGGAGCGCGAAGAGGCTCCCTATTCTATCGGGGGCAACTTCAATGGACCAATAGACTGCCCAGGAGCTGTGTCCAATTTTCCCCCATGGGCCCATGTAGGTCCACAGGCGTTCAAATTGCTTGAAATGTGATCCCACGAGACGATACAGGGCGTGTCAGTTCTGAGGCGGCTTACAGGGCGCTAAGCTCAAGATGTAGTCTACGGTCAACACGCCGCAGACGGTTGGACTAGGGCGGTAGTGGAGTGCGGCTGCGTCCGCCGTTTCGGTACTAGGCCAAATTGATGTCTGAATAATCTGAACATTATGATTCTGAGCCTTCCCGCGGCAAATTGGCAGTTATACAACGGGTGCTTCTCTACCGACGCCGCTGTACAATCGTATGTTGTCGAGAATCCATCTGTTACAGACTTCACAACTTCAAGAGTGAAATGGAGAACGAGACCTAATCAAGCTACGTATGATTCTCATTGACACCCATCCTCATTATTCGTATCCAAGAGTCATGAGCTTGGTATGAACGATATTGACAAAATCTACTTGTATGCACGGATCACTCAGCAGTCAGCGTAGATGCCCTTCGCAACATGGAGAGCAGTGACATCGACGTATACTACAATACAGCAGAAGGTGGAGACGCTTGCATGCATACCAAGAAGACAATCCTCACAGGCTGAGCGAGAACCGCGACCTTGAGGCCTTGTAGACATTACGCATTGGCTGAGCGGAAGCGTTGGCGCGGGTTCGTGAGCGCACCACGCGCACTGCACGACCGGTACGGGTGCATGTGTCCGATCTGGGAGACCCTTTGGGCAGATGGATAACCGATTTCCGGATGGGCACCGGGAAGACAATGACGGCGGTGACAGAGCCAGGACCTTCGCAGGAAACGATTCCGGAGTAGTGGGCTAGGAGAGACAGATATCATGCTGCTTTTGTATGTCCTACTGATGAACGTTCAGTTCGAGTTGAAATGAGATAGGAACGGGACTCCTCACTATGTCTTATAGTAGAAGCAGGGCATATGTGGTATCGGAGGTAAGTTAGTGATGCATGACGAGAATGAATACATGGGCTTCTTCGAATCCCGTACAAGACACTCCTAAATCATCTTCGCTCCAAGCCCCGTCCCATAGCCTGACTGAGCGACGCTCGACCACGAGTCCACGAGGCTCCTACTTCACCTTGGCGGCTTGCCCATCCTCGAGCTTCCTCCGCCTTGAAGCTAACTCCTCCGTGTCGCTATCCCCTCTCCGCCAGCCCTTCCCTCCCCACTCGTGTGCAGGAGGTATGTAACCATGGGGTGCGTGAAACGGAATGCCAGGCGCGATGGGATATGGTGGGACATGCGCAGGCGCAATGTGTGTGGCGGGGTTGACTCGCGAGCGGAACAGAACGAGGAGCGAGTTGACGAAGACAGTGAGGAAGCAAAGCGAGACGACGGTGAAAATCTAGGAGTTGTTGCCAACCGATCAGTGTAGTCGAGTAGTGTAGGTTCATGATCTGGAAAACTCACGA